CACACACATCTATTTACGTGAAATGAAGAGCCAAATTATGCCTGGGAACATCAAGTGAAGGAGACAGCACACCACATTTCAATATATTAATAAAAATGACTTCCTTCCGACTCCTTGCATTTATAGTTGGAAGTGTGTCCTTCAAAGAGTTGGTAAATGCTGGAGAGAAGGGTTTATGCCAGGAGATGAGGTCATAAGAATTATAGCAGTGCATCTGTCGTTTTTAATGTCAACTATTTTCACTGCATTTTCTTCTTTCATCTTTTCAGCCTCCTATTAAGCAACCCCTAAAATCAATCTTCCATGAATTCAAATCAGATGTAATTATTGTCCCAATGTTTACGGAAAAGAGGCCCGTTCAGAAGATACCAGTGAAAAGGAGGAGTTTTTGAATGTTTGTTTGTGCTTAGAGTTTAATAAATGCAGGCTAATTAAATCATTCATTTCAGTGCATTCCACAGTCGCCAGAAACAGCTGATGACACCAGGGTCAGACGAGTCAACTTAATGGCTTTAATAGGCTGTACCAAATGACTGCACCCAAATAGCTACAAGATCCTTTAGCGTTTAAGCTCTGCCTTTTCTAAAGGACTTGCACACACTTACGCAGCACTTTTTCATCATTGTAGCACCTTTCATTTATGTACTACCTGTTGTTGTTGTTGTCTCACAGATAGATTTTTAGCTTCTTGATCTAGAGCATAGAGAAAATGGGTAGGAATTGATTTGTGCAGGCCCTCCCTTTCAAAAATAAATGTTCTGAAATATAATATCTAAATATAAATACATTGTAGTTGTAAAAATAGATAATAATATTTAAAATGATAAACTTTGGTATGAACTAAAACAAATTAATTTGAGTAAAAGCTAAATATTCTGCTCAACATTCAGTTAGAAGCTCATTTCATCAAAATGTAGATTGATGTTAGAGATAAAGAGCTAAAATTGCCATGTTGAAAAACACTGGTTACAAATATCATTTAACATATGATTGTGTGAAAAGTTCTCTTGTATTTTTCAAATATATAGAAAGAACTGCAGATGTGTTCCAACAAACACTTCCTGTTTGCACACTCTGTTTTCCTAAAAATAGCAGTGTATTCCTTCTTGAGAAATTAAACAAAACAGATCATTCCTGCACTGATGAAAAGAGATGCACTATTTCCAGTCTGTATGATGCTAGAGAGCCTAAGTCAGTTTGAAACTCAAGTCTTTGTCAGAACAGATAGTTGCTCTTGACAGCTGGGAGACTGGACAGGATTTGTGCTTTTTCACTGAGGAAGTCTAGTCTCTCAAACCTCCGACAAGCACTTTCATGATCGTGCACGGCTCCTCACTGACACGGTTTCAAGGAGAGACAGCCTGACAAAACTATTCACGCCATTAGATATGTGAGACAATCTGAAAGGAACAGAGCAGAGCAGCTATGTAGCTCTGGGAATTTCACTACTCCCTTTCAACCTGCTTCTCCCTTTGGTGCACACACAAGACTGATATTTTCAAAATGAGTAATCTTTCAAGCTTATTTAATTCTTTTTAGTATCAGTCATAAAAGAAAAGCATTAAACCTTGTAACTGCACTTAAATGACAGTTGCATAAAGTTTCTGGGCATATTATAAGGCTAAAGGTACATCTTAACACATGCACAAAGATACTGAAGTTTACCAAATGGAGCTTTGTATTTGTATCAAAACTGAAAGTATTGGCTGGTGAGTCATTGTGATTGTAAGAGTACGCTATAATCTAAAATAATTTGTAATTTAAGGGATAAATGTGAGATTAAATCTTTGGTCTTTTGGTTTAACCCATGAATACAAGGTCACATGACTAACAAACAATCAGAAATGCACAGTACAACATGTGTGGCAGAGGTCAGACTATAAATAATATGATCATCTGGTCACACAATCGGTGTTTAAGTGCTGTCCACTTATAGTGCTTTTGACCCTTAAAGATTGTGTAGCACCTGCTTCCCTCCACATGTGAAACTCAGGGGCACTAGGTGAGGCTGCACTCATTATGACTTCAGCTTCACATAAAAGAGCTTTGGTCACAAACCTTTCAGACTTCTCAGTGGGTTATTATACATTACTTGTGGCAAAGAGAACATTTAATTATAGTGTGTGTCAGTCATTATGGCCCCTGAGCGCAGGTCCTGCTTCTGCACAGCCAGGGATGAGGTGCCCTTTGAGGCTTCACACACCCTCCAGACCTGCAGGAGTCTCCACTGGAGGTTAATGGAGGCTAAACCCTTGTGAACATCCTTTGAATTCTCTTTATACCCAATAAAACGTGAGTCCCATACAGTGGACAGGTTGTTGTTGTCCAGCTTGAGTTAATGTGTTTTTTGTTTTTTTTTTGTTTTTTTACAGTAATAGAATTTGCTGTTCCTTTCTTGGCAATGTGTATTGATTTATTCCTTTTGCTTCTCTGTGTCTTGTAGGTACATATATTCACTCAGTAGCATTCGGCTATCCGCTTACACATGTAATTTTCTTTGTTCAAACAGTTGTATATAGTGCAACATTAGCACATAACACAGTGTATCCACAGGAGAGACCAGGCAGACTTGTTCCTAATTCCAGCTCTGAAGCTCAGTTTGAGAACCATATGTATACATATGATACATATGGTTGTCAAATCATGTGTTCATTTGTTTTTCAAAATAAAACCATAAATAAGAAAACAAAAAAACAACTGTTCTCTTCAATATTTATCTCCAAAACCAAAATAAAAAAAACAGATAAGATTTGTTTTTTCAGTTTTCCATTTTGTGTTTAAATGAATAATGAGGGGGAAAAATGGATAAGCCAGAACTAGTAAGACCCAGAACTGAACCAGGAGTGAACCAGGAGTGAACCAGGTCTAAACCCGGACTAAACCAGGACTACACCAGGACTGAGCCTGGTCCTGGTTTAGTCCTGGTTTAGTCCTCCTGGTTCAGTCCTGAGATCAGTCCTGTTTTAATTCTGGTTCAATCCGTATGCAGCGCAAAAGTCTGGCATCACAATTTAAGTCAGGGAGTGGGAAACTGCTGTTATCCGTTTTTTCCATTATTCATTTAAACACAAAATCGAAAACTGAAAAGACAAATCATTATCCGTATTTTCATTTTGGTTTTGGAGACAAATAATGAAAGAAAATAGTTGTCTTAAAGAGGGGGCATTTTACTTTTGGGATATTAACTGCTAACACATAACATATTTAGATCACCATGTTACCTTTAATTGTTTTGAAAATGCTATATTTGCAGAAAACAACGTATATCAACATGTTTTCTAAGTTTCACTTTTGTTTTTGACACTTTGAGTCTCCCTTCCCTTAGTAAATTGGAGGGGCAGTGACTAAACAAGTGTGGATCCTACTAATGAGACTACTGCACATCGCACGAGGTTTGTCAAGATGCAGTGTACATGTACAGTGGTGATCCTACACTGACTGAAAAAAATATATATAGAAAAAGAAGGGAAGAAATGAAGTGAGATGAGATGCTACAAGATGCCCCACATGGATGCCTGTGATTAATGGTAAATATTATATCAAATATCAGCGCACAGCTGATTCCTTTCTATCTCCATGGAGACCAGACCAAGTTACAGGTCAGATCTGTGGAGAGGCAACCCCACTCACAGTTAGAATGCCTGTTTTTCTAGGTATTTTTGCCACCTCTAAAACCACCTGTACTTGAATATATCCATAGAAACAAGCAGGTGACAGACTCCCAACCAAAAATGTACATAATGCACCTTTAATAACTTCCTCAAAATCTACTCACAAACCTATAGCCTGTTTAGTATATGAACACATACAGTGAGTCAGTACAAACACAGATGGACTGAAAATCCAAAAGCTAAAAGTACTCAAACACAAACAGCACCAAATTTAAAAAAGGGCCTTACCCAAAGTGAAAATGCACCATAGACAACAGAAGACAGTTCCAGATAAACTGCAGGTTTGAGACAAAAGGCATGACTATCGCTGTATTTCACAGCTTAATCCACGGCTGACATTTAAATAGATTTGTCATAAAGCAGGACAGCTACTACATCTGTTCCATCTTCCATCAACACACTGTTTAATCATCGTCACCTGTTATATAATATATATATATATATATATATATATATATATATATATATATATATATATATATATATATATACACACACACACACACACACACACACACACACACATATATATATATATATTTTTTATTATTATTATTATTATTTTTTTTTTATAGATTTCAATGGATGCAGCCTTATTTCTGGACTATCTTTGGAAATGAAAACTATTTTTCAAACAAAAAACAATAAAACACTCAAACACCACTGTGGTAGGGTTCATAAATACACAGCTTAAGTAGCAGAGACCTTTTAAGCATTGCATCCTCACTAATTTGTATTTGCATGGCCACACTTCAAATAATACAAATTCATTTATAATTAACTAGAGCAGTAGGAGTCAGGCAATGTTCAACTGCAAAACTACAATGTTTTATGGGCAACATAGTATAAAATCATTTTCACAATATATTCTCAGATAGTTTAACTACTTATAGGCCCTTTAAAATGCTCATCATCATAATGTTCTGGAATGGAAGCCAACTAAAAGTCAAATACCATAATACATTTTCTGTGATTTTTAGCAAACAATGGTACAAGATACAAATTTGAATGCACAGACAACTGGTGCATTGTAGCATCCAACCTTACACAGGACAGAACACAGTGAAATGATCACAGTATATTATTACAGCATATATATCTTTGCCACAAAACCCACATAAATTGTAGTTGATCATAAAGGACATGGAGGTATTAGACTGGTGCTTAAAGGAGATCAAACACAGTGTTGTGTCATTTTATCCCTTGTTCATTAAACATTTGATTAGTTCTCTCAGCAGATGATCAATAGTGAAACAGGAGTCGTGTGTGTGTGTGCATGTGTGTAATTTAAGTGTAGTGGGTGTGACAGACAGAGCGAGTGGTGCTGACCTGCACAGAGCGTCAGAGCGGCAGAGCTGCTGCAGATCCAGACAGCTGGGTTTGTGTCTCTCCTGGTGCGAGCAGTCAGGGATGATGGTGCGTCTGCGCCTCTCAGCACAGGCCTGGTCCCGGCAGGAGCAGAACAGCAGGGGATAGCTCAGCTCCCATGACACCCGCTCGAAAAACTGACGTAGGGCCTGCAAGTAGAGGACAATAATTTCAAGGCTAGCTTTAATATTATAACATTAGATGCACAGATTATGACTGTGTATCTTAAAATTGAATAATCTGAATAATTATATTATTAAAACACAGATTTACATAACTATACACATAAATGAATGAATAAAACTGGTCAAACAAGTATAATGTATTGGACAGAATGAACATGAATGAACATGAATGAATTAATTTTGCATGAATGAATTTTGAAATACGTTCTGAAGACTTTTGCCCATTCCAAAGGTATAACATTTTCATTTGAATTGTTGATTGCTATCATAATAGTCACCATTTGTCATTGCTCTGAAACATATGATTAGACATTATAAACATGTTCATACCTTTTGGCAGCGTTTCCGGCTGCAGGGCTCCTGATTGGCCAGAGATGGCTGAGGGGGTGTGGCCTTAGAGCAGATTGTGGTGTAGCTGGACCGTAGTCGTTTACAGGTGTCATTGAGATTACAGGCTTTAGCAGCATCCAAACAGGGGTTACAGGGTTTCCCTGCTTCAGAGCAGGGGCTTGCCTTCTGTAAAGATGAGTCTGGTAAAAAGAGACCAAAATGAGAAAACTAATTTAACATGCATAAAATATGCATACCTTGAAGTTACAGCACATCAAGCTAAAACATTTAATTTATTTCATAAACATGGTCAAATCTGCCTTAATATCACTAATGAATAGGAACCACTACGTTCAACACAATCCTCCCTGCTCTGCTCCAGGACAAACTCTGAATGTGCCCAACTCCACCTGCAGTGGGAACACTGATTTCCAGACCAGACCAGAGTCAACGTGTACAGCTGGGGAAGAATGGTTCTCTATGGTTCTCTGGACACTATGAGCACAGGATCTCCACAGGGCTGTGTACCCTCTCCTCTGCTCTTCTCCATGTAGACAACTGCATCACACCCAGTCACCAGACTGAGGCCTATAGGAGGCAGGTGGACGTGCTGATGACTTGATGCAGTGGAAACAGCTTAAAGACACTGCAGCGCATTGTGTGCTCTGCTGAGGAGGTGATAGGCTGCAACCTCATACCTCTCCAAGACCTGCACCACACCATTGAAACAAATTTCTGGTTTGTGAAAAATGTCACTATCTGTTTACCAAACCTATTAAGAGGAGAGAGATGAGATGATTTCTAGCAGATGACCTTGACCAATAGAAAGTGAATATTGCAGCAAAAGCAAACAGCTGTTGGTAACATATTTTATTCATTTTGAAAGGAGCAATAATGTTTTATATTTCTTAGCAACATTATGATAAGGATAGATGATACGGCTCTGTCCAGTACTAGCACTTGCGCATTTTGAATGCATGTTCACAACGAACCTTTCTCCTCATGTGAGCTACTTTTTGTAAAATGAAAATACCAGAGACACACTAATTTTAGGAGTTGCCAGAAACTGAGTAAATATAAGAGCCATGGCAATTCATAGATGGGGTATATAATCAATCAAATTTGACTTATTCAGCACAATATGCATAATTCCAAAATCCCTTGACGAGCTACTTGGAAGGGGGTGGAGAGCTACTGGTAGCTCTCGAGTTACAGGTTGAACACCCCCAGTCTAGGATGAATGAGGTGTGTGCGTGATTGACTAGAGGTGGTTGGGGGGCCAAAGGCTCAGATTCAGTGAATCTCCCCCAGGGCAGTTGCGACTAAAATAGTAGCTTACCACCCGGTGGAGTGAATGAATAATGCAATGTTAAATGTCTTTTAGTCACAGTGTTGAATGCATTGTTAGGGTTAGTTAGGTTTAGGTCATCTATATCCACGGTTTTAATAGGTGAGGCCAGCCTCCCCTGGGCGGTGCCAGAGAGCCACTGGGGAGACATGACACACACAGACTAAACCACTTGCACTTAAATATGAAAAAAATATGAAAATACAATATTGAAAAAATATATTATCAGTTCTTATTGAAAAACTCATCATCGCCAGGAACACTGTGACCATGTACTGTATTTTTCAGACTATAAGTTGCACTTTTTTTCATATGTGAAGAATCCCTCAGTCTTCCAGGTAGAATCCATGGGGAGGAGAAAATTCAGTTTGTTGACTGGACAAAAGTTAGTTTGGTTGAAGACGCTGCTTCTTCAGTTCTGAACTAGCTTGGATGAGCTGTGAAACGTCTTCAACCAAACTAACTTTTGTCCAGTAGACAAACTGAATTTTCTCCTCACCACATTTTTTCATAGTTTGTGTCATCCTGCGACTTATATATTAAAATTTTCACACTGAAAGCCCCAAGAGGGTGCTCTAGGCAGAGTACAGAGTCCTGTACCCATAAAGGCAACTAGTTGCTGAAAGAGGCAATTTTTAATGTTCTGGAATTTTACGGGCTTGTATGCGGCAGGTAGTGATTACACACGGGTGGGTCAGGACTAAATCACGACTAAACCAGGACTACACCAGGACTAATCTTGGACTTAAGAGAGAGAGAAAACCCCGAGTCCGCGGGTTAGGGTGTCCACAAAGCGCGATCAGGTGACAGCTGCACTTACCTCTGTGCACTGAGAGCTCCGCACCGGTCCTTTCGCCTGCGGTTACTCGACGGACTACTTGGGCAAACCTCCAAACCTGTCCCGACAGTTAGTCCTGGTTCATTTCTGGTTTAGTCCTGGTTTAGTCCTAGTTCAGTCCTGGTTAAGCCCTCCTGGAATCAGTCATGGGTTAGTCCTAGGTTAGTTCTAGGTTAGTCCTGGGTTAGTCCTGGGTTAGTCCTGGTTTAGTCTGTGGCGTGTGCAGCACAAAAGTCGAGCATCTCGATCAGTGTTTCTTCTGCTCAGTAAATAATGCCTTTGAAGTGATGACAGTCGAGTTGGGTCTGTGAATTTATATTTGTACTGAAGAAAGCGTAACCGTTTCATTTCATTTCGCAACTGTAATTCGTATTCTGATGGATGCATCAGTTAGAATGCTTTTAGTTTGTGTGTGATTTATCATGGGCATGGGCGGGTAACGGGAGGAATGTTAATGGGTCCAGGTGGGTGCAGGTTTAACTTTGATAAAATCAAAATATCTGCTACTCTTGTTATTCCTGTACCTCTGTCAATTGGCTCTACTGCGTATGTCTCCTGCAGAAAGAGCCACTGTCCTGTCTTGTATCGTGTCAGTCAATCGCATTACTACAGTGGACCAACCGGTGATTCCGTTGGGGGACTTCAACGTCCATGTGGGCAATGACAGTGACACCTGGAAAGAGGTGACTGGGAAGAACAGCCTCTTTGATCTGAACTCAAGAGGTGTTTTGTTATTGGACTTCTGTCCTAGTCACAGTTTGTCCATAACGAACACCGTGTTCGAGCACAGGGGTGTCCAGCAGTGCACAAGGCACCAGGACACCCTAGGTCGAAGGTCAATGATCCACTTTGTCGTCATGTCATCTGACCTCCAGCTGCGTGTCTTGGACACTCAAGAGAGAGGCTGTGCTGTCAACCGATCACCACCTGGTGGTGAGTTGGAAAGACCTGGCAAGCCCAAGCATACCATCATGTCTGTTGTGAACGTCTGGCAGAGCCCTCTGTCAGGGGGAACTTTAACTCAAATCTCCAGGAAAGCTTCTCACAGATTCCGGGGGAGGCTGGGACATGGAGCCCAAGTGGGCTTTGTTCTCGGCCTCTGTTTTCAGTGCGGCTGCTCGTTGCTGTGGTTGCAAGGTCATTGATGCCTGTCACAGCGGCAACTGGCAAACCGTCCGGCGTCTCAAGAGGGGGAAGCAGTGCTTCACCTACACTGTTTATAGTGCGGGGAGAGAGCTGTTGACCTTGTCTGGGATGTTGTCGGACGATGGAAGGAATTCTTTGAGGATCTCCTCAGTCCCACCATCACGTCTTCTGAGAAGAAAGCATAGGCGGGAGACTCAGAGGTGGACTCGTCCATTACCCTGGCTGAAGTCACTGAGGTGGTTGGCAAGCTCCTTGGTGGAAAGGCTTCAGGGGTGGAAGAGATCCATTCTGAGTATCTTAAGTTTCTGGATGTTGCAGGGCTGTCTTGGCTGACACGTCTCTTCAACATCACATGGCGGTCGGGACAGTGCCTCTGAACTGGCAGACCAGGGTGGTGGTCCATCTGTTTAAGAAGGGGGACCGGAGGGTGTGCTCCAACTACAGAAGAATCACACTTCTCAGCCTCCCATGTAATGTCTATTCCAAGGTACTGGAGAGGAGAATCTACCAATAGTTGACCTTGGATCCAAGAGGAGCAGTGTGGGCTTCATCTTGGCTGTGGAACACTGGACCAACTCTATATTCTCTATTAGGTGCTTGAGGGTTCATGGGAGTTTCCCCAACCAGTTCACATGTGCTTTGTGGGTTTGGAGAAGGCATTTGACCCTGTCCTTCGTGGTGTCCTATGAGGGTGCTCTGGGAGTCCAGTTTCTCTATGACCAGAGCAGGAGCTGTGTTTGTATTGCCGGCAGTAAGTCAGCCGTGTTCCCAGTGCATGTTCGACTCTGCCACGGCTGTCCTTTGTCACCAGTTCTGTTCATTGTATTTATGGACAGAATTTCTAGGCGCAGTCAGGGGCCGGAGGGGGTTCGGTTTAGGGATTACAGGATCTCTTCTCGGCTGTTGGCGGATAATGTTGTCCTGGTGGCTTCATTAAGCCAGGAGCTGCAATGTACACTGGGGCAGTTTGCAGCTGAGTGTGAAGCAGCTGGGATGAAGATCAGCTTTTCCAAGTTTGAGGCCATGGTTCTTGACTGGAAAAAGGTGGCTTGTCCTCTCCAGGTGGCTGGAAAGTCCCTGCCTCATGTGGAGGAGTTCAAGTATCTCAGGGTCTTGTTCACGAGTCAGGGGAGGACGGAATGTGAGATTGACAGGGAGATCGGTGCTGCGTCGGCAGTGATGTGGTCGCTGTATCGAATCGTGGGTGAAGTGGGAGCTGAGTCAAAAGGCAAAGTTCTTGGATTTACTGGTCAGTTGATGTTCCTACCCTTACCTATGGTCATGAGCTTTGATTAATGACCTAAAGGACAAGATCGCGGATACAAGCAGTCAAAATGTGTTTACTTCGGATGGTGGATGGGCACTCCCTTAGAGATAGGGTGAGGAGCTCAGTTACACGGGAGGAGCTCAGAGTAGAGCCGCTGCTTCTCCACGTCACCTCCTTGGAGAGGTGTTCCGGGCACATCCCACCGGGGAGGACCTGGGGAAGACCCAGGCCATGCTGGAGGGATTATCTCTCATCTGGCCAAGGAATGCCTCGGGATCCCCCCGGGGGAGCTGGAGGAATAGTGTGTGGAGAGGAAAGGCTGGGCCTTCCTGCTTAGACTGTTGCCCCCACGACCCAGACCCAGATAAGCAGAAGAAATGGATGGAGGGATGGACTTATACTCCAGAGCAACTATAGTCCGAAAAACACATGAATGAATAAATGGGGATTTCTAGAGCAAAGAGCTAATAAGTGCTTAAATGTGTTCAATGTGACAGTCAACTATCTCCTTGTATTTTGAAAATAAGGCAACAATAATCGGCCCTGGTGCACAAACGCTGCACCCCTCAAATGCAAAGTTAAACTGAAATCGCTCATATGC